TTGGATTAGTGTCTAAGTCCATAACTATAATTGGTATATACTTGACCCGACCCGGCATGGTCCATTTGGGTTGCATGGCATCATGCATTTGGATAGACTAAAATGAGAGAAATAACACTTAAGGTTTATCAATATATTATAAGTTCTAATATATTAATAAGATTATTTAATTAGTATTGATCAAGAATTAATTAAGTGATCAAAAGAAGACTAATTAAATATATGGGTTGATTGGTGTAAATCATCCATACTTATATAGTGGGATAATGCTCCATGGATTATCAAGTTGGGCTAAAACCCATAGGATACTCCATGGATGCTCCATGGTGTATTTGAACCCATGGATCCAAGGAAATGGAAAGCCATGACAATTAGGGTTTACCCTAATTGTAACAACTATATAAGCATCTTATTTTGTGCAAAATCGGCCACTAAAAAAAGTAGTGAGGGCAAACCGATTTGAGGAGTGTTCTAAATTTCTCTCTAAGTTATTCCAAGTGCATATGATGTTGTGTGAACCATTTGAGGTGTCACATTTGGGGCACTAGGCTCTTGAGCTCCATGGAATCAAGCACCAACAAAGAGGTATGTATTTCTACTAGTTTCTATATTACTTGTACTTCATAATATGCTAGTTAGGATAAATACCTTGGAAATTGATATTTGCATGTATAATAGAGAAAACATAGATCCAAGGTATTTAGGGTTGCATGTACACCATAGGAGTGTTAGAATGCTCAAAACCCAACACGATCAAGCCGGGCCCTTCCTTTACGAACCGGAAGTACCTAAAACCATAAACCACAAACTGTAAGCACAAAGCTTAGTGAGTTCCCCAAATACCACATACCATACATATCAAACAAGCCATACATGTCATACATATCCAATTAATCAATCAAAATGTTATGTGCCAACCATAGTCTTGCCATTATACCACGAGACGTCTCGTGGTCTTCCTTGCCAGGCTGGGGGACCAAAACCCTGGGTCTTACATACAAGTGTCAGGAGCCACTTCCTGGTCTTCCATGAAAGCATCACAAAGACAACTAGCAAACAATCTATAACTACTTAACTAATAAATGCCAGAGTTCAGACTCTGGTATGGCATACAGATTGCCAGGAGCCACCTCTTGGTCTTTCATACAAAATGCCAAGGGTCACCCCTGGTTCTTCCTATAATACATAAACTAAATGGGTCGGCATTGGTGCCTTTGATCCATAGAGCAGTGAGGAGACTCACCTCGAATGTTGAAGCTCACTGAAAGAAATCCCTAGCTGCTACCCTGACAACTCCCTGAGCTATCAGAACAAAATCACACCCAATTAGCAATTGGGTTCCAATCTATGGTCCATAATCCATACTTGGGGTAAAATAACCATTTTACCCCTGTCCCAACTTGAACCAAAATTGAGGCCCAAAACCAAAAAGATCCACAAAGGCCCACTAATGGCCCAATTTTCCAAATTGGGCCCAACCCCCATATGGGCCTTATCCTAAAGCCCATTAATTTCCTTAGTCCCAAAAAGTTGATCTGAGATGGCCCAAAAGGCCCAAAGCAACAAGGTGACCCAAGGATGTGAAGCCCACAAACACAACAAGCCCAAGCCCAGCTGAACGTCGTACGCGGGGCGTACGTTCAGCTACGCTGCGCGTAGTCGGTGAATCCAGATCGCGAACAAAACACAGTATGCTGGGCGCACCATTATTTACGCTTAGCGTAATTCAACTTATTCCAAAACTGATTTTATGACTTAACCACTTAAGCACTTTGCACCCAAGCTTCAGGGAACCTTAAAATAAAGCTCTTAATGCATAAAGTCGGCACCTTTATGCATTTGCATGACTTATTCGGACCCAACAACCATCTTAATACATTAAGACCCATTTTAAACTAACTAAAACATGCATGGACCAAAAGCAATGATCAAGATACCATTTTTATGAACTTATAAACTCAGAAAGGGCAAGATCTAACAACCTTAGCTCCAGGAGTGACTCAAACTCATAAGGAGGACTTAAAACCCATAAATAAGCACAAATCTAGCCCTAAACCCATAAAGCATAACAAGAAGCCAAAGTATGAACTTTTTACCTCCTGAAGCTTCCCAAGAGTGAAGATTTTGGATCTATAACCCCAAGGCTACACCAAGCTTGATCACCAAGATCCACTTCCTTGAAATAACACTAAGGACCCTTCAAAATCACCTCCAAGCTCGAGAATGCACCACCAAGGGGATTAGGGTTCGAAATGAGGCTTAAAGAAAATGGAGGCTGAGAAATGAAAGAGCCTTGAGCTCATAAGGATGTTTAAATAGTGCCCAAACCCTAAAAACTACGGTTTGGCACTCTGCTCGTTACGCTAGGCGTACCCCCAGCTTACGTTGGGCGTACTTACCTAGGCATGTGCCCTCCTTACCATGCAGGCATGGGATTGCTTTGCCTCTCTTTTCCATTAAGGACCATTTCTGCCAATAATCCAAATTGCCATAACTTCCTCATCTTAGGTCCGTTTCCAACGAACCTTATATCCACGGAAAGGTGGCAAGAAGCCCTATGCTTCTAACAACTCGCCATCGCATTAAAACTTCCTGAACAAAAACCCAAAATTCATAAAAGACCGAGTTATCAAATTACGATTATACCCTTGGCCTCTGAAGACACCATCGAACACTTGGATCACTAAAACCATAACACCCACATCTGAAAAGACTAAAACCTTTCTTCCCCAAGGCCCTAAGCCTCATGACAACTAAAGATTGGGCCGCAACCCCGAATAATGAAGCAAATCCAAAACCGAGTGTTACATATTTCAAGTTAGAATGCTGGAAAGATAACATATGTTTATATCTTCTAAGACTAACTTTCTTGTCACCAAATGAAACAAACCAGAAAGATATATATTCAAGGGAAAATAATAATTGTGTTTTTTCATTGTTGGCATGATCTATTTAGTAATAGTGGTAATAGTGGTGGTCTGTTGATTTTGAAGGTCGTGTGAGAAAAGTAAAAATGGACCTTACAATACATATCTTTAGTAAAGGAGAAAAAAAGGGATCATGAATCGAACATGGGTGGATTAAATTAAAGGGAAGTGCCTAAGTCATTTCAGCTACACCGCCTACACTACTTTTATTAACAAAAAATATATACATCTAACATATATTTGAAGATTAATAGATACATAAACCGAATTTCCGACCCTGTAGGGTCGCACATCATGCACACCATTAGGGCCGACCCTACTTACATACACCATTGATTATCGTCCATGAACCTACAACACAAAGAACTATGCATAAGTTGTTCGATGAATTAATTTTAGCTTATAACATTTTCTCAAAAGGTTGAATATTTTTATAAAAATTATCTTTACCAAACCTCCTTCTGTATAAAAAATGACAACTTGGTAGGATACAAAATAATTCCACATTGTATTGTCAAATTTAACTCCACAATATTACAAAATAATTGTCTAAATGACAATTTCACAACGTTGTCCATAGAAGGGGCCCATCCGTATGGAGTCTTACATATTTTGATAGGGGTTTATCTTACCATGGCAAACTACAAAATCTAAAAAGAGGCATAAATACATGGACTATGTTCGGAAAAACTAGCAGTTAGTAGCTAGCCGAAAGTTGGTAACGAGTAACAAGAAACCAGATCTGTCAATTTTATTAGTACATAAGTGTTTAATAAAAATAGATGTTAGCTTTTAAATGTGTAAAATTATATAAAACAAAAGTTACTTGAAATAACTTTTGGATCACAGATTATTTAAAAAAAAACTTTTGGATCATACACTTTTTGTTTAAAATAAAAGGTAAAAGCTTCTATTGCTTGAACATTAATTTTATTTTATTCAAGCTTTTTTTTTTCTTAAAAGCTTTCAAAAACTTCATGTCAAATATGGCCATAGTATTTTCATTTGCCCTACGATATCTAAGTGACCACACACCGCTATGAAATTTGTTGTTATTTTGATGAATAACTATGCCGACTAGATTATTAAAATTAAAAAAAATGTAATAAAAACATCTAAATGACATAAAAAAAAGTTTTTTCACGGCGATACTTGGTATTTCTAATTTATAATATTTATCTTAAACACCACTAATCAACATTAAACGATTTTGAGTAACATGTACATACATGTCCAGTTGTCGACCCTATATCTCCATAGTTATCTGGTTGATTCCATGGATCCAATTTTATACGTATCGATTATTGTTGTTCGACTTTTAAACAAATAAAAAATAACAGATATAAATAATAACTTTTCTCAAATAATTTAACAAATTTTTTTATCTAATGACAAAGTATCAAGAATGTACATCACCATCAATCTTACAAATATGTTGTAATGATCAATAAATGACAAATTGATGGATTTGGAAGATAATATCTTCGAAAAAACAAAGAGAAATTAAATATCCTTCTATTTTTATTTCTACCGTTTTCTTACATATTTTAAACAATGACAAGTATCATTAAATTTAATTTAAATTTGATTGAGATGTTAAATTTATATACTTGTCATCACCTACTGTAAGGACATACATAAAAACTATTAATTATGGAAAATATTATCATAATTAAATGTGAAATGCATTAATTATGAAAAATATTTTCTATAATTAATGAATTTAACATTTAATTATGATAATATTCTCGTTCAATTAATGTTTCCTATACGTGTCTTTTAAGACATATGTCAGAAAATCCCTATTTAATTTCTAAAAGAGAATGTTGCATGTGTTGAGACTATATAGAAAATATCATATTTTTGGACATTCATGATTATTTGATGTTATAACAGAGTCTTGTAAACTCATTTAATTCCAAAAATGCTAATCTTGAACGTAATTTTGATATAAATGGAGATCTTAATAGACATCTTTATTCTGATACATATACAAGTAGAATGTTTTGTATATATATACTTTCTAACTATAGGAAAAGGCTGAAAATAATGTTTTAAACTCATATATGGGTTTCAATTTTCATTACCCGACGGAGTCGACTCATTCACAACTAACTTTTCACGATCAGCCTCAGGAATTCCATTTTCATCAAGAAATCTATAAACACCATCTTCAGGCTCTTTAAGTTCATGATCGTTTGACTTCTTAGTCAACACTTCTGTTGCTATCGATTCCTGTTCTTGGACACCATCATTGAGTTCACCGGGATTCGTTGTATCATCTAGAATCACTTCTGAGTTGACTCGGTGAGTCGACTTCAATGGTGTGACTCGCCCTTTTCGTCCCAATATGCTGGAAATTCGCTGGTTGTTGAGATGGATTGAGAAGATCTCACCAGTGATACTCTTCTTTGTGGATGATTGATTGATCTGGTATAATAACCAAATGCCGAAGGCCATAAACAATGCAAAACGAAATGTTTGCATAGCTGTTGATGATTTTAGGCGAGTGTTCTTGAAGTTGAATCCATAGTTCATTGTAATCAATTACTTTTCAAGCTGGATTTTCCTACAAAATTTCAGGAAAACGAATTAGATGCATTATATAGGATCGATTGGTAGCAAAGTTTGCCATTATAAGCTTCCAATCAAGAATCATGAGAAAGGAGACGCAAGAACAACACGATCTTACACACAATATAACGAAATCGAAAAAGAATATTATCAGATGATCATCAAATTGTTTTTGGGTTACTTCATCAATGGCTGTAAACTCAAATCCAACTACAATACATCTTTCATGTTCTATAAGGAATATTCCTACATTGCAATTGCTCACAAACAAAAACCCTAAAAGTACTACAGTATACTGATCAAAATCAAAACAGTCATAGCGGAATCCTAAAATTACTCTAGAATTATCGAGAAAAAGGAAAAAGAGATGCTCAAAGCAACTTTACCTCTGGTGTACGAATGGAGCAGAGTTCGATTACCGAGTGAACGCCTAAACCCTAAAAAAGAAAACGACTATATATTCTTGTGAAAAATTTCAGGAGATTTGTTGGGGAACCCTTTGAACAAATGTGGAAATATTAGATTTTGAAGCCAAAATTAAATGGAAAATAAACGGTCATGGAGTGTTTTTCTTGTGTTTTCTTTTTGCTCGGAGTATTATATTCTACGTTCTTTTTGACTTAAAGCTACAAAGCTACAAATTAATTATTATATTTTTAACCAATGGTTTATAATCCAAACTCCAAAGTATGTTTTGTGTTATAACGTGCTTTCAGTTCAAATGTTCCATGGGGTAAGGTCCATTTAAAAATCGAAAATCTTCATAAATGGTCTCTGTTTTCAAAAAAAAAAACAAGTTTTGTTGTTGTTGTTGTTATTATTATTATTATTATATTGTCTTTAAGGATGATACTTATGGTTTGAAATTTTTTAATGGATGATTTTTTGGGTGACTCTGTCAAATTGGAGCCATTAACTATCCTCACGTGCAAAACATGTCAGGGTACTTTTGTCATTTCACTTAAGTTCCCCTCATTTAATGTTGTTGATCATTTTGCCCCACGTACTATATTCTTTCTCTCTATCCTATCAACCTCATCCCTCTCCCAAGAGACCCACTTCTTCCTTCGTCCTCCCAATCCGATTAACATAGCAACTTCAAGCTTTTTAGGGTTTCAACCAAACGAAGGAAAATGACCATCTGTGTTTGGAATATCTATGAAAATAGCCCAAAAAAAGATTGACTTAGAAGTTGAATACAATACACTTTTTACATCAAAGAAACTATTTTTTTCCTTATAATGTGTTGATCAAAGACTCACAATGTGTTTACCCTTTCTTATTTGTGATTGCGGTAGGATTTCCCAACTACTTCACGTTTAAGATACATTACAGTTGATTGTTCACCAAGTCTCCACGTAGGAAATATGTAGATGGCATTGTCTCATATGTTGACTTCATTGATACAAACCTTTTTTTAGTATACGACCTTGATGTCATGGTTAAGGAGTTAGGATACCAAAATGAGCAGACATTGTACTACCATTACTGTATCCCTGATGTCCCATTATATTATGGCTTAATGCATTTAGGGAATGACCAAGATGTTCCAAAAATGGTCACATATGTCCCTAAACATAGACAAATCAGTGTGTATATTGAAACCGAGGAGAAAAGTGCTTTTACATATTTGAAGTCTCCATCTAAGGTTATGATTGAGAAGTTAGAACCTGAAATTGTTTCACCAGAGTTTAGGAAAAGAAGACCAACTAAAAGAGAATCAGGTTCTTGTAGTAGGAAACTATATTTGAACGAACCTGTATGTGAGGGACTTTTCGTGACATAATCATAAATAATTGAATGTGATGAAGCCATAACATATGATAAGTGTATTGTAGCATATAGAATGTCAAATGTTATCTAAGAAAGTCAGGTAATTAATGTTGAAATGAGGAAGAAGAAAGAGGTGTGCATAATATAGCATAAATGCATCAAGGTGATCAAATGACAAACCAAGTGGACCAAGGTGCCCTAATGACAATAGATGTGGATAAAGATGTTCATATGGAAACATATGTAGAAAAATGTGTTCTTATGACAACAAATGTCACTACAAACAAAATGACATTTAGTGGCACACGTTTTTGATGGCATATTATTTTTATGCCACTATAATATGTGTTTAGTGACATATTTTATATGACACTATAAAATTAATACATTTGATAGCACTTAATAATTTATGTCATTAATATTAGTATTATTAGTGGCATAAAAAATTTAAATGCTACTAAAAAACTCTTTATTTTGTGTCATATACTTTTTTATATGCCACTACAGTTTTACGGTATGTTTTACCGATTTGTTTTTGTGCTTGTTCCACTAATAAAAAAATTGAATTCCGGTTTCTTATTTCTCTCTCCAAAATGAATGGGCGCTTATTGCTATATATATATATATATATATATATATATATATATATAGAAATAGTATGATGTTCCCCCTTAATGTTTTATCCTTTATTCTACGTTAATCGATCGCACTTCACAACTTCATCATAGCATCATCAGAGACGGACCATCAAAACTAAAGTCGCAGACCATCTCTTTGCATCACAACATCAGGTATGATTCCAACTTTCAACTCATATTCCTCACCCTCTCTATTGGTTAAACCTTAACCTCCTCAAGTCTCTCCACTGGAAGCGTCTCTTCTCAAACCCTAATTTTCAAGTCTACATGAAATCCACTATACATGGTCGTATTTTTATGGAAGCGGTCAATTAAGTTTGATCAGAGTAGAATCATTTTGTTTGTCACTTGATTTGTGAAATCTATATGAAAATCTCCTTATTTTCTTGTGCAATTCATTCTCATATTGTCATTTTTTGAGAATTTATAACATCTCTCGGCACGGTTATATTATTCCAGTGAGTTTTTATCCTTCTCTGTTGGTAACTTAAACCATTGATTTAGCATTATCTCTTTTGTACTTAGAATTTTTTTTCTTTGGATGTTGTTCTTTGTTGTTAAATGTCACACCCCCGAATCAGACGGCGGAAACGTCCGGGAGCTTGTGCGTGACTTCATCTTGAAATATAATTACAGTGAATATAATTGAAACATAACATCATCATCATCATCATCACATGTAATATAACAACATTCATTGTTTACATCGAGTATTGTATTTGAATATTACATGCCAAAATAGTAAGAGTATGATGAAACAAAATATAACACAATATCCATTAGTTTGTTTCGTTCATCCTGCTTCAACGGTTTTCTGAGAATACAAGTTATTTTGAAAACGGTCAACATAAAAATGTTGGTGAGTTCATAAGCATGTTTGTGAAAATGATTTGTATAACTTTGAAAACCACCAGAAAATCCTATATTTTCTGCAAACTGTTTAGTGTGTTTGTGTCAGATCTTGTATTAATGCATGTATGTTATTGTTTATTTTGACTAAAAGGGTAAAGAGAATGTAGAGAGAATGTAAAGAGTATGTAAAGAGAATGTTCCCAGGCAACCCGATGTTGTCTGTAAAAGAGAAAGCTTCCATACCAACCCCCGATGTTGAGTACCAGTACGAGAATGTTTCCGAGTAATCCAAAGAAAAGAGAAGGGTCTTCCGTAAACTTCATAACGTTAATTCCTCTAAGTGAGCCGTCATAACCATACTAAATAATGACAATTTCGCCTGTCTTGGCGTTGTTGGACGCCGGTTTTGATTTTGATTATAAAGTTTTCGTCACCCTAGACTGAGTTAGTCTAACTGTAGCGAACAGCTCAGGTGTGGGGTGTCATCCCCGTATAGATCTATACACAAATCCCCGCTCTCCCTCCAAGAGACTCTGGTTATAACTACAGGCTACGATCGTACACTTAATATGTGTCAACCGACAAAACTCACTAGATCCTTAATCGAATTTACGCAAGAAAGAAATGGTATAATCTCATTACAGGCCCAATGAACCATGAAAGTGAACCACTAAGGCATAGCTAAACATGTAAATCATTTAAAGGCCCAAATTGGAATGAAATTATATAACATGGGCCCGAAATATATATATGAAAGGACAACTAAGGCCCATTTCACATGTAAGGTATTTACAGGCCAAATAGCACACAAATAGTATCCAAGGTCCGTCGCACATGTTAATGGGTCAATGAGGCCCAATAAACATATAAATAGTATACAAGACCTATCACACATAAAAATGGGCCACTAAGGCCCAATAACCTAGAAAATGATCAAATTAATCCGTTGTTAGTTTATCGTTGGTTTGGTTCAAGTATTCACTTAAAATAGCATAAAAAGCCTACTTTTGTAAAAATGACGTTCTTGGCCCAATAAGTCAAAAATTTATAATTAAGGCCCAATTTTTGTAAGAATAACACTTTAGTCTCCATTTTGTTCAAAACTTGTGTTGATGACTAGTTTGTGGTAAAAATAACATTTTAAACCCATTTTTGTCAAAAACTATCATTTTTGGCTTGATTTTTGTGAAAATACACATTTTTTCTGGTTTTGGGCTTTTCCGACCTAGTTTTGGAAAATTTGTCGAAAAATCATCGTAAATCGAAATTTGGATCCGTAAATTTTAGAAGTTTGGAAATGTTGTCTACTTGTTCACATTTTTCTCATAATTTTTGATGGCCTCAAACTTGTGAAATTACTCACCTTCACAGGTTGGTCCGAAAATTATTTCAAATATGCTAGGCAGTTTTGTAAAATTCGCCAACAATTGTAGAAAAATCGTATGAAAACGTGATGGAGTATTGAGGTAGTCATTAAAGGTATAAATCTGAAATTTATCCATGTAAACAGTTTTGAAAAATATTTCATTAAGAGGTCAAAACAGTTCGAGATTGGGCTAAAACTTTCCTGTCAAAAGCTTGATTTTTGAGTATAAGTTATAGATCTTTGAGCACAACACTCATTTTTGCTATTTTAAGTGTATAATTCCCAGAGATCTACAAGTTTTATGTAATATATGTGATAAACATACTTTTCTCAAG